GGAGAGGGATTCTGAGGAAGGAGGTGAAGCCCCCCCGCCCCTCAGGGCCCGGCCCGGCCGCTCCCAGTCCGCCCAGTACAACGCGGCCTGTCCCAAACTGGGAGCAACACCCCCGTGCCCCCCCCCCCATGGGAACATGACATCGTGTTCCGCGCTCGCCATTGGTCAGAGCCGCCGCCCATTCTCGCCCCCCATTGGCCCCCCGAGCTGTCACTCCGCCCCCGTCCGTCCCGCCCCACTGAACACGCGCGGCTTTCCTTCACCCGCTGTCCACGCTCCTCTGCCGCTGCTCTGATTGGTCAGTGCTGCCGTAAACAAGGCAGCGGCAGCCAATGGGAGCGCTGATCACGCGAGCAGCACGCCTGGCCACGCGCCCTCGGCGTGGCGGCCCAGGCAGCAACAGGCGCGGGCGGGGGTGGGCGGGGTTCCCGAGCCTATAAAAGGCAGCGGCGGCAGCGGCTCCCTCAGAGCGCTGAGGTCCCGGGGCAGAGCGTCCTGTGGATACTTCGCAGCGTCTCTAAACAAAGCGTTCAACCGCTTTTGATTTTTTTTTTTGCCTCGGGTGGATTTTTGCTCATCTACCCTGCAGCCGTTGCTTGATCAAACCCCTCGTCCTCCTGCTGCCCCAGCCATGGTGATGTTCAAGAAAGTGAAGAACTTCATGGTGGCCTTCAGCGAGCCCGACAAGGTCTACTGCAGCGGGGACAAGGTGGCCGGGCGTGTGCTGGTGGAGGTGGCCGAGGTGACCCGTGTCAGCGCCGTCAAGGTGTTGGCATGTGGCGTGGCCAGGGTGACCTGGGCCAAGGGCCCGGCCCAGTGCCGGCAGGAGATGGAGTACCTGCGCTTCGAGGACGTGCTGGCGCTTGAGGAGCAGCCCACGGGTGAGAGCACGGGGCTGGAAAGGGGACAAGGGTAGCTTTAAACCCCGGTTCAAAAGCCCAGCCCAACGCAGGGGTTGGCCACAGAAGGGGTGTGGTGGGGCTGGATGGGGGTAAGGGGTTTGGGAGGGGTACCCCTAGATCCCAGTGGAGCCCCCTGAACACAGAGTTGATGCTGTGTTGGTGCTTGGAAAAATGACCAAATCTAGGAAAACTTTGCAGTGTTAGAACTTCGGTCGAGCCAAGTCGAAGTTTGGGAGCTAAAGGACAAAATCAGAGCCTGGGCAGCTCCTGTGGCGTGTTCTGACTCCACAGGGGTTGGTAGCGTTGGTGGCCCGGTCAGGGACGGGCTCAGGATCACACCCTGGGGCTGGAGCTGGGAGATAAGGGGGAGCTGGGGCTGGGGTGGAGCCACCGAGAGGCCGTGTTCTGCCCCGGGGTGTTGGTGAGGTGAAGGCAGAGAACACGGGGTTCCCGGGGTGTGCACAGGTGTTAGCCAACGCCCTTGGAGCTGAGGATCACCCTGGAGCTCCAGCTGATGTTTCCCTGCCCTTCTTTCCTCCAGACGAGGACGGCTCCGTCATCCTGAGACCCGGCAACAAGTACGAGTACAAATTCGGCTTCGAGCTGCCCCAGGGGTGAGTATGAGGCAGCACCTGCCACTTGGGGGGTGGAATTAAACTGGGAAATCCCTGTTTGGGCTCTGGAGTGACCCCCTGCTTGTCTCCAGGCCACTGGGCACCACGTTCAAGGGGAAGTATGGCTCTGTGGATTACTGGGTGAGGGCGTCTCTGGAGCGTCCGGCCTGCCCCACGCAGCAGGTGAAGAAACGCTTCGAGGTGATGGATCCTGTGGATGTGAACACCCCGGAGTTGCTGGTGAGCTCCTTTTCTCTCCAAAGGCTCGGGGGAGTAATCCCTTGGGGAGGGTCAGGCCAAGCCAGTGGCACCCAGGTGTCTTTAATCAGATCTGGGCTGAGTGGGAATTAAGGGTGGGATTAAGGAGTCGGGGATAATTCCAGAAACTGACACTGGCTGGGGTGTGTTCTGTTCTCCAGCGGAATCCGGGGGTTGGTTGCAAAAAGGGAAGGAAGGAGAGGAGGAAGGAAGGGTGGAGGGTGGGAAGGACAGGATGGGGCCAAGGTTTGAGTGTTCCCTCTCCCCACAGTCTCCAGTCGCAGCCAAAAAGGAGAAGAAAGTGTCGTGCATGTTCATCCCCGACGGACGCGTGTCTGTCAGCGCCCAGATCGACAGGAAAGGCTTCTGTGAAGGTGAGGATTGCTGGGAGCAGAGAACTGGGAGTGGGGAAGCAGCAAGGAAACCCTGAACATCCCTAACGTGTGGGTCCTTCCTTTGGCAGGCGATGAGATCTGCATCAACGCCGACTTCGAGAACACCTGCTCGCGCATCGTGGTGCCCAAGGCAGCCATCGTGGCCAAGCACACCTACCTGGCCAACGGGCAGACCAAGGTCTTCTGCCAGAAACTCTCCTGCGTTCGTGGCAACCACATCATCTCTGGCACCTCGGAGTCCTGGCGTGGCAAAACCATCCGTGTGAAGAAGCTCAAACCCTCCATCCTGGGCTGCAACATCCTGCGGGTGGAGTATTTCCTGCAGGTGAGCCTTCATCTTCATCCTCATCCTGGGGATCCTCTTCATCCTGGGGTCCTGTCCCACACGCCTCTAAATCTTGGTTTTTCCTGCAGATCTATGTCAGCGTGCCAGGCTCCAAGAAGATCATCCTGGAGCTGCCTCTGGTCATCGGGAGTCGCTCTGGCATCGGCAGCCGCAGCTCCAGCATGGCCAGTCAGACCAGTTCTGAGATGAGCTGGGTGGACCTGAACCTCCCCGATGCTCCAGAGGGTGAGTGGGGTGGGCTCCACAGGGTGGGATCCCTGACTGGTGGGCTCACAGAGCATGGGGAACCCCTGAAACGCTCAGAGCCGAGCTCACCAGCCTCTCCCTGCACCCCCACAGCCCCCCCGTGCTACCTGGACATCGTTCCCGAGGATCACCGGCTGGAAAGCCCCACCACGCCCCTCCTGGATGATCCCGATGGATTCGACAGCCCCATCTTCATGTACGCCCCAGAATTCAAGTTCATGCCTCCCCCCACCTACACGGAGGTGAGCACGGCGCCGGCACGGGAGGGGCCAGGTGGATCTGGGATCACCGGCCTGCATCCCTCACCCTCCTCCTGCTCCGTGGGCCAGGTGGATCCCTGCGTTGCCAACAACAACAACAACAACAACAACATCCAGTGAGATCCACACCCACACCCGGCGGGTCGCTCCCGCTTGCCTGGACTCGGCTCCTTGTGCCACACACCTGCAGCACATCTGGGAGAACAGCTGGAGGGGGCTCCCGAGGAGCTGCTGCATCCCCGAGGAGCTGCTGCATTCCCCATCCCGAATCTCGAGGAAAAAAACAAAAAAATCCTCAAGGACTGTTGGGGAGACGAGGCAGATCCAGCTGGAAAAAAGCTGGAAAACCTCGTGGCTGTTGGGACACAACGCTGCCTGTCCTCGCCCTGTCGCGACACGTGGTGACAGGGAATAGTGGTTTTAATTAATTCCATCTTAATTTTGTAACTCTGGGTGCTGCTCTGGCTGCCCTGCGCTCCCGCCGAGGGAGGGGGACGCTGTGAATCCGTCCTGTCGTGACACGAAGCTGATGTCACGACCTTTTGTACTCTGATTTTGTACATAGCCTTTCAGGGAGGGGTGGAGGGGTGGGGGGCAAAGCACAAAAATGCAAATTTTGTACCTTTTCGTGGCCCCTGGGGGGCAAAATTTGTAATAAACTTGTAATAAATAAATGAAACGGTTCCCTTGCCTCGGGTCTGTCTCCTCGGGGGTGGGAGGGTGGCAGGAACACCTTTGGAATCAGGACTGATGTTATTTATTTTCCCAATTTTTGGGTTTTCTGGGGATTTTTTGGGAGCAGCCCTGGGGGAGTTTCTGGCATTTTTTTGGGAGCAGCCCTGGGGGAGTTTCTGGCATTTTTCTGGGAGCAGCCCTGGGGGGAGTTTCTGGCATTTTTTTGGGAGCACCCTGGGAGAGTTTCTGCCATTTTTCTGGGAGCAGCCCCGAGGAGGTTTCCTGATTTTTCCAAGAGCAAAAAAAGCAAAAAAACCCCAAAAAAAACTAAGCAGAAAAACAACACAAAAAAGGGAAAGCGAAGCACAGAGGGACAAAAACAAGCTGTGGGGAAACTGAGGCAGGAACTGCTTTTCCTGCCTTTTTTTGGCCCTGCCCTGGGAGCACCCCCGGCTCATTTTTGGCATCTGGGTGAAAGGTTTCGGTGTCCACTACCAAGGCCGTGACCTTGGCTTTGCTTCTCGCCCTTTTTCCCACTTGGAGCCCCCCCAAAAATCCCTCTGCGCCCCCCCCCGGGAGGGGTGGAGGGGTGGGGGGCAAAGCACAAAAATGCAAATTTTGTACCTTTTCGTGGCCCCTGGGGGGCAAAATTTGTAATAAACTTGTAATAAATAAATGAAACGGTTCCCTTGCCTCGGGTCTGTCTCCTCGGGGGTGGGAGGGTGGCAGGAACACCTTTGGAATCAGGACTGATGTTATTTATTTTCCCAATTTTTGGGTTTTCTGGGGATTTTTTGGGAGCAGCCCTGGGGGAGTTTCTGGCATTTTTTTGGGAGCAGCCCTGGGGGAGTTTCTGGCATTTTTCTGGGAGCAGCCCTGGGGGGAGTTTCTGGCATTTTTTTGGGAGCAGCCCTGGGGGAGTTTCTGCCATTTTTCTGGGAGCAGCCCCGAGGAGGTTTCCTGATTTTTCCAAGAGCAAAAAAAGCAAAAAAAACCCAAAAAAACTAAGCAGAAAAACAACACAAAAAAGGGAAAACGAAGCACAGAGAGACGAAAACAAGCTGTGGGGAAACTGAGGCAGGAACTGCTTTTCCTGCCTTTTTTTGGCCCTGCCCTGGGAGCACCCCCGGCTCATTTTTGGCATCTGGGTGAAAGGTTTCGGTGTCCACTACCAAGGCCGTGACCTTGGCTTTGCTTCTCGCCCTTTTTCCCACTTGGAGCCCCCCCAAAAATCCCTCTGCGCCCCCCCCCCAGCTTTATCCCAGTCCAGTTTTTCCTTGGAACTGGAGCTGTCCTGGCTGCTGGCCAAGGAGGCAAAGGGTCACCCTGGGCTGGGCTGAGAGAAGGGGGAGGGCACGGACAGCCCCCCAAAATTAGGCAGACACTCCCAGTCCCCTACTGGCCTGAAAATGTTGAATTTTTTTTTTTTTTTCCCCCCCCTGGAAAAGTCAGCAGCGCCCCCAAAACTCCCCCTCCCCACCCCAAACTGAACCCTGCCCCTCTGCCCTCCCCGGTTTACAGCTCTAATTAAACTAATTAAGGTCATAAACCTCTCCCGGTATTCCTGTGGCTGGCCTTGGTGCCAGAGCAGATCTGGGGGTTCAGCCTGACCCCTCCCTGGTTTTTTGGGGGATGAAAAAAACCCCAAAAAACCCCAAAAATCCCCAATTTCTCCCTCCCCCCCCTCCCCATCTCAGCTCTGTGCTGGCTCTGGAAATTCCTGCCCGGTTCCAACTGGGCCAAAGGGCCTGGGCTAAACTGGGAGCACTGGGAGCAGGGCAGGAATTCCAGGGTGGGAATATGGGGTGGGGATCAGGGTGGGGGAACCCCCAGAAACGGGGCAGACCCCACAACACCGGGGAAACTGAGGCACGCAGATGGGGGTGCCAAACATCCCAAATTTGGGTGCCCAGCCCCCAAATCCTTCCCCAGGCTGGGGTGGGGGGGACACAGAACCCCCCACAAAAGCTACAGATTTCTGGAAATAGGGGAGAAAAGAGGAAAAACGGGGATAAAAAAAAAACCAGGGATAAAAAGCTGGAAATCCACAATTGCTGGAACGTTCTTGGCCTCAAACAGGAACTGGTTGGGGAGGGGGGGGCCAGCATGTGACGCTCATGTGAGCAGCCCTGAGGCACAAACACGCCCCCCCCGTGAGGAAAAAAAACCACTCCTTCCTCCTAAAAAACCTCACACTGCATTTCCCCAAAACAGCTCCCCCCGCCCCAAAATTTTTATCCCCACGAAAACACTCCCCCCCCAGCAAAAATAGCTTCGAAAAGGGGCTCTACCCCCCAAAAATCCACGTTTTCTCACTACAAAAACTCATCCCTGACCAAAAAAAATCTACTTTTCCCTCCCCAAAAATCCACCTTATCCCCTAAAATATGATTTAAAAATTGCACCTCCCCCCACAATAAAGCAAAGTTTCCTCCCTCAAAAATGCACCTTCCATCAGAAACATACATTTCCCTCCCCAAAATACATTTTTTCTCCCCAAAAATACATCTTTTCTCCCCAAAAAGACATCTCGACCCACAAGGAGTTACCTTTCCCTCCCCAAAGCTATACCTTTACTCCCCAAAAATCCACCATCCCACCCCAAAAAATCCTCTTTTCCCCCCCAAAAAAAACTTTATCTCCCAAAAACCACTTTTTCCACCGTAAAAAAACCACTTTTCCACTTTCCCATAAAACTTTTCCTCCCAAAATACCTTTTCTTCTTTCTAGAAACGCATTTTCCATCTCAAAAAAACCACATTTCATCCTGCCCGTTCCCGGGCTCAGTACACCGCCTCGTCGCCGTTGTCGTCGCTGTCGGGGCCGAAGCTCTCCCCGTTGTCGAAGTAGGACAGGACGTAGTCGGTCTCCTGGGGGGGACACGGGGGGGACACGGTGGCACCCGGGGACCCCTGAGCCCCCACCAACCCCCCCCGCCAGGTCCCCCCTCTTTTTTCACACGGGGGGGACACGGTGGCACCCGGGGACCCCTGAGCCCCCACCAACCCCCCCCTCTTTTTTCACCTCTTCATGCTCCTCCTCATCGTACTCCTCCTCCTCCTCCTCCTTCCCCTCTTCTTCCTCCTCCTTCTCCTCTTCCTCCTCTGACGTCACCTCCTCCTCCTTCTTCTCCAGGCTCTGGGGGGGGGCTCAGGGAATGTCACCGGGGGGGGACAAAAAACACCCAAAATTCACCCCCCGACCTTCCCCCCGGTACCTCCAGCTTCTTAATGGCCTCCTCCTTGTCCAGCGTCACCTGCTTCTTGGGGACGAGGGCAGCGGGTCCTGGGGGGGCACAGGGGACTGTCACCCCCCCCGGGGGACACTGGGGACACACGGGGGGGGGCAGGGAGGGGACACTCACGGCCTTTCCGCAGCCGCCGCACGCGGATCTTCAGCTCCCGCGGGAGCCGCCGCCAGTCTGGGGGGGCAAAACGGGGCGAAGGGGGGGTTGGGGGGACCCCAAAAAAGCTCCACGTGCCCCCCAGGACCCCCTCCTGTGTCCCCCCGTGTCCCCTCACCTGGGTTCCAGTCGATGGCGTTGTCCACGGGGTTGGAGAGCTGGTACTTGTCCGAGTAGCGCTCGATGTCTGCGGGGGCATGGGGGGGTTTGGGGACGTTTTTGGGGGGATTTGGGGACGTTTTGGGGGGATTTGGGGACAATTTTGGGACATTTGTGGGACTAAAATAGGAATTAAACCGGGGGGAACCAAACAGGGAGGGCTGGGGGCTCAGGTGAGCTCTGCAGGGCTCAGGTGAGCTCTGGACACGCCCTCCAGCCGCCGGGCAGAGAATTTGGGATGAGCCCCCTCCCCAACGCCCCCTGCCCCCCCCGGGGGCCGGTACCTCTGCGGGGCGCCCCCGGTTTGATGAAGTAGGGGAGCCCCCTCATGGCCCTGCGCAGCTCCTGCTTCAGCGCCAGCATGTACTCGCCCTCCTCGCCGCCGGGCAGGGGCGCGGCGCGGCGCTCCAGAGCCTGCGGGACCGGGGTGGCAGTTTGGGGGGACGGGGGTTTGGGGGG